CGCTCTTGGGGCTGGAGCAACAGCACAGCGGGGAGGAGGGCGTTTGCCTTGCACACGGCCGATCTGGGTTCGATTCCCAGCATCCCATATGGTCTCCTGAGCACCACCAGGAGTAATTCCTGAGCGCAGAGCCAGGAGTATCCCCTGTGCATTGCTGGGTGTGACCAAAAAAGCAAAAACAAAATAAAATAAAATAAAAGATGACGTCCTTAGGGCTGGAGCGATAGCACAGCGGGGACGGTGTTTGCCTTGCACATGGCCCACTCGGGTTCTATTCCCGGCATCCCATAGGGTCCCTCGAGGTCCGCCAGGGGTAATGCCTGAGTGCAGAGCCAGAAGGAACCCCTGAGCATCGCTGGGTGACCCAAAAATAAAAAAAAATAATAATAAAAAAAGAGGATGATGTTCTCTGTGAGCCTCAGCTCCTGTCACTAGCGTCACTGTCCTCAGCCCTCTCTGGCCAGTGTAGGAGCCAAATATGGCACTGGTGTTTCCCCCCCATCAGGGGCCGTTTGAGATAAAGGGACAAGGGGTCTGTGTTCTCAAGACTGACTGGCTCATCCAGCATTTCCTCTGGATCTTTCTGAAAAGTGCGACAGCCCTGGACTCTTTGGGCGCCTCCATCCCTCCCGTGGGCTGTCACGCGGTGTGGCCATGCTGGTGGCGGGTGCCTGCCCATCCCCACACCCGGGCTGCTTCCTGGCCCGGCCTCGTACGGGCACGGTGTAGACTCAGGGACACGGGCTGCACATCAGGAATCTGCAAACCCGACGTCCACGTTTCAGCCGCGAGTTCAAACAAAGCCTTGCGTGGGACCGCGGGGCCGGCGGGTCTCTCCCGGCCTCCCCTTGAATGGGACTTTTCATGCTTCCCATCTGTTGTGTTTGTTTGCTGCCCGGTATCCACCCCGTGTGGCATTCGGCGGCCTCACATAGTTAAGTCTCAGCGATTAGAAACAATAACAAACCCCGTGATGGGGGCCCCCGGTGGCTTATTGAGTTATAGGATTTGGAAATGTGTTTTCAGAGAAAATAAAAGGTCAGGCGGAGCAGACACCGGGTTATTTGGTTTAATTTTCTGGAAAATAGGATTGCCTTTATCAGATCCTGGTGTCTCGGGGCCCTCATGCTTGGCTGACGGCCCCACCGTGGCGTGCTGTGGCCGGGACAGGCGGCGGCAGGAAGCGGCTCCGTCAGCAGAAACGGCTGGAAACGGAGCCGGGGGGCCCCTCACCTCCCCCTGACCTGAGCATCCCTGATGGGGTTCCCACCGCAGGGCAGGGGGACGGCTGATGGGGACCACAGTCGCCTCTGCGGCAGGGCTGGTGCTCAGGGGGGCCGGGGGACTGCCAGGCAGACTCAGCACTCCAGAGATGCACCCTCAGCCGGGCTGGACCAACGTGGGCATCTTCCAGGTTCCTTGGGAATATGATATGCGGCCAGAGTACATCTTCTTCACAGATTCCTTATCGCAGCATATAAACCATCACCGCGTCTGCACCAAGGAGGAGCATTTGGCAAATCTCCTTTTTTTCAAAAATAGGGACATTCTCTAGCCTGTAGCAAGTTTCAGATTCATCTTGGATATGGGGGGTGGGGGGGGGATATTATTATGTCTCCATGACTCCATCCCCAGAATTGTAAATGATAAAGCACTCACTTAAAAAAAAAAAACAATCACGAGTCAGCCAAGACAATTAAAAATCTACTTTGCTGATCCATTCCCCCCCCCCACTCCCAAGTGTATTTCTTTTTTTTCCCTCCCCAATTTATGTGCTTCTTCCAAAGAGAAGCACGTTTGTTACAGTATTTGTTGCAGAACAGAATCCCATGTTGCTTTTACAAAATGAAAAATTAAAAATGAGGTATAGAAAAGGACAAGATGGAGGGGTCAGAAAGGAGACAAAATAAAAGGGGAGACATAGACCTTGAGAATGCGGGCATCACTAAATTTGACCTGGGATTTTGTTTATTTATTTATTTATTTGAAATTAGTGAATTCAGGGAAATGGATTGTCTTGTGATAGATTGAAAATGGGCTTCTCCCTGGGAGTCCACAGGTCCACTGGGAGGGTAGGAAGAAGCAGAAGAAATCGAAGGCGTTTCTTCAGAGGCCCTTTGAGAAAGTCTGAGTCCGTGTGTGACTGAGGGAGTGAACGCATGCAGACAGTGATGTGTAGTTTTGGGTCCTGCACGCAGGCTGCCCAAGCTGTGCTTGAATTTTTGGACTAGCAAGAAACGTGAAAGAACAAAGAGTCTGGAGTTTGAGCAGCTCCTGTTTTAGGGGAGAGAGGTCTCTAATTCACCACCGAATACAGTTCCTGGCTCACATGATATGTCATTTATTTGCCCCTTCAGGTGTGTAGACAGGTCCAGGCAGCTTAAGGCATTCCCCCCGGCCATAAAGAGACTTTCAGGCAAATTTTTTTGTTCCTAGATCAGACTCCTCAAGTTTGAGCTTCGGTTTTGTGGCTGAAACTTGCTTGGCTGTGCTGAGAAAGCGAAACATCACAACAGACATCAGTGGCTTCTTTTTAAAAATCTGTTTAATAAAATTAATCACCGTGAGGTAGACAGGTACAAAGTTGGGTAACTGGTTCATGGTTGGGTTTCAGTCACAGAATGTTCCAGCATCCATCCCTTCACCAGTGCACATTTCTCATCACCTGTGTCCCCAGGTTCCTGCCACCCCAGCCCACACCTGCCTCAGTGGCACTCTTTTCTTCTCTCTCTCTCTCTCTTTCTCTCTCTCCCCCCACCACTCTCTCTCTCCACACACACACACACACACACACACACACACACACACACACACACACACTCACACACCCCCTATTTGGGCATTGTGGTTTGCAGTACAGTTACTGACAGGTTATCATGTATATCCCTTTACTTACTCTCAGCACTCGGTTCTTGTCCAGAGTGATCCCTTTCCAACTGTTGTTGTCATAGTGGTCCCTTCTCTATCCTAACTGCCCTCCATCCCCCACAAACTCGTGGCAAGTCCTCCTGGCCCCTGTTTTTTGCTGTCTGTGGATATTAGTCTCATACTATACTTTTTTTTTATATCCCAAAAATGAGTGCAGATATTCTATGTCTGTCCCTCTCCTTGACTGGCTCTTTTTGAAGTTGAGCAATGTGAATTAGAAACTTACTAAGTATGTAACCTAAGATTATATCCTGATATTTTTAATTTTACTTATTTCTTGACAGTGTTAGGAATCAAGCTTACAAGGCAAGCTTTCTGCCACTCTGCTGCATCTCTGAACCCAGATTTATTCTTTTATTTTACTATATCACAAGTTTGAATTTGAAATTATTTTCTAGCATTTTGTTTTCATTTTTCCTTAGTGCTTCACCGAAACGAGCCTGATTTGCCTCATTGAAAACCTCCCCTCTTAGAAAATAGCAGTTTTTTTTTTCTTTTTGAGTCACACCTGGTGATGCACAGGGGTTACTCCTGGCTCTGCACTCAGGAGTTACTCCCGGCGGTGCTCAGGGGACCATCTGGTATTGCTGGGAATCGAACCCGGGTCGGCCGCATGCAAGGCAAACGCCCTACCCTCTGTGCTATCTCTCCAGTCCCGAAAATAGCAGTTTTTTAAGTATAAAGTGATAGACTTTCCCAGTAACCTAAATAGAATCAGACAGCCATAAATCAGATGTAGATAAAATGCCATCGAAAAGAATTTTTCTATTGCACACTCGATGCATTGGAAGATGTTATACGAGATCTTTCATGGTAACCCCAGAAAAAATGAGAGAACTAATAGAATAATACATAATGATATTTTCCCATTTTATATCCCAACACAGAGATAAAATATCTGTTCAAGTTGGAAGATGTCAACTTGTGCGTTTCACCTTGGCGATATTGAGAAATAGGAATGACTTTCTTTTTGCCAAATATCAAAGATATTAGCTACATGGTGTATTGCTTTTCCTTTTTCTTTTTTCTTCTTTTTTTTCCTTAAATTTTTATTAGTGAAACACCATGAGGTACAGTTGTAGACTTACAAATTTTTGTGCTTGGGTTTCAGTTATACAATGATCGAATACGCATCCTCCACCAGTGCCCATTCTCTACCACCAATGATCCCAGTATCCCTCCAACCCCCATCTCCCCCAACCCACCCTACCTCTGTGGCAGGGCATTCCCTTTTGTTATCTCTCTCCTTTTGAGTGCTGTGGTTTGCAAAAGAGACATTGAGTGGCAATCTTGTTCGGTCTATAGTCTACTCTCATCACGCATCTCCCATCCTGGGAGGATCCTCCCAACACCCTTTATTTGGTGCTCCCTTCTCTATCTGAGCTCCCTTTTTCCCTAGCATGTGTGGCTGGCCTCCAAGCCATGGAGTGAACCTCCTGGTACTTACCTCGGCTATTCTTGGGTGTTAGTCTCCTATTTTGTTACTTTATGTTCCCCAGATGAACGCAATCTTTCTATGTCTATCCCTCTCTTTCTGACTCATTTCACTTAGCATGATACTTTTTTTCCATGTTCCTTAGGTTTTATAAAATAGCAGTTAAGATCAATTTTTTCTTTTTTTCTTACATTTTTATTAGTGAAACACCATGAGGTACAGTTGTAGACTTACAAATTTTTGTGCTCGGGTTTCAGTTATACAATGATTGAGTACCCATCCCTCCACCAGTGCCCATTCTCCACCACCACCAGTCCCAGTATCCCTCCCACCCCCCTTCCCCCCATCCCACCCTCCCACTTCTTTTTCCTCCTTAATGAAGCTTTTTCACCGCTGTCCCTTGCCGATGGAGTGAGTGAGCCGTGTGTCTTATGTGCTGTTTCACCAGCATTCAGCTATGAATAACTTGACAAGTGTCTGTTGGTCGCTTTGCAGAGTTTGTGCCTGTTTGTGCTTCTTTCCAGCAGTGAAAATAATATAACCATGTAAAAGCTGTTTGGAAATGTCATATTGACGTAATATATCCCCACCCATTAAAATGGCCTACGTTTTAACTAGCTGTTTTCTCTTTTTCTAGCCATCCATCAAAAACTAGAAGCGGATGGAACGGAAAAAGTCGAAGGATCCATGACGCAAAAACTGGAGAATGTTCTCAACAGTAAGTTTTGTCCTATAACCCAGAGCTATTTATGGTCTTCAGAACAAGCTTCCCTATAGCTCTTGGACCTGATTTCGTAGGAGAAGGCAGTCGGTTGCATTTTAGTATTTGTTTCTAGATCGTGATGATTTAATGATCATAAAGGGGAACAAAAACATTGCAAAGGAATGTTCTGTTTCTGCTTACATTTTGTTCAGGAGAAATCATAATTTGAAAACAAGCCAATATACTTCTTGAGAAGTAAAAAAAAAATAGCTACCATCACGAGGCCAGTATACAAGAATGTCCCCCAACATAGAGAGGTGTTGAGGTCATAGGATGGCCGGCAACTGGAAACCCCAGAACCCATCTCCCGGAATCTACCAGGATGGATACCGAACTATCGGCTGGTAGAAATGGCAGCTTCTTGGGGGTCATTTATTTCTGCCAGTCCTCCCCCCCCGCCCCCCAAAGAACTTAAGGGAACTGCATTTCTGAAGATGATTCTAAATCTGAGCTATTTGGTAAAAATTGTAGGTCAAGAGAAAGGAATATATGCAAAGTTTTGGGTGCCTCTCCCCACCTCCCCTGTTCATCCTCTTGTATCTTTTTTTTGGCATCCAAAAGCATGCAGTGATGCACCCTACCACTGGGAAGAAACTCATGAGATGAGTCGATCCCTGCTGAAATCCAAGTTCCTTCCAAGCACGTAACTCTCGTTTATTCCCATGAGAACACTTTGACCTGGATTAGTCATGCCCAAGGAAATCACCTTGTATTGAAATAAAAGTGTGGTTTGTGCTATTCCTGTGAAGGGGGATAAGAATGACTCAAACAGTTAAGTGCCTTAATATCAGACCCTCTGTCTGTGAATGCAGGGCAGCGATATTCAGTTCGTTTTGTACTTCTAGTTTAATTTGGTCCCTTGAGCAGTGATAACCCTATTCTTTTCTAAAAAATTATTATTATACTTTTATTTATCAATTTAAATTTTTTTTATTTTATAAGTTAGGTCACAATATTTGATTATGTTTAATATTCAAATACCCATCCCACCACCATTACACCTTCCCAACACCAAATTCGGGATGTTTCCATTCCAAGCCCCAATCCCTGCCCCAAAACACAACCAAAGTAATATATTTCATGTTGTCTGTCACGAAGAACTGCTGAACATGCTTACAAAAAGTGTTCATATAGGAAACAGTATGAAGATTATTCAATTTTGGCAGGAGCCATTAAGACATTCTGTAGGGATAAGCCTATTCTTAAACCCATTCATCAGCCTGGGAATTCTCTGACAAAAAGCATTTTCTCTGAAAGGAGCTCTCGTTCCTTTTGAGATTTTACTTGGTAGTAGAACTTGAGTTACTCTTGATTTTTTTCCCCCTGAGTTTGTGTTTAGCTTAATTCAATAATCTAAGTTGAAGTAGTTTTCCCTCTGGTTGTTATGGCTGTTGTTATTATTTTTTGCCTCGCTGCTGTCTTAAGAACCCAGACACCAGCTTTGGGGCTGGAGAGATAGCACAGCAGGTAGGTAGGGCGTTTGCCTTGCATGCGGCTGACCCAGGTTCGATTCCCAGCATCCCACATGGTCCCCTGAGCACCGCCAGGAGTAACTCCTGAATGCAGAGCCAGGAGTAACACCCCTGTGCATCGCCGGGTGTGACCCAAAAAGCAAAAAAAAAAAAAAAAAGAATCCAGACACCAGCTTGGTTGAAATGAGTATATTCTGAATTCCACGTAAGCGTTTGCTGAAGCTGTTTCTGTATTCGCGCAGCTCTTGAAAGGATATTTTCCACTCGGGGATTATTTTCACAGGAGAAATTATTTCTGTTAACTTTTAAAAGGTGACTTGTAAGAACAAGCTGACATAGTAAGCAGATCATTGTATCAGTGAAAGGAAATAGATACTTCTTAAGGTTAGGGAAAAAATTAATATCCATTTCATGTGTTAGGCTTAGCCTGGTGTATTAACACGATTTTTCCCCCCCGCCCAGTTAAGGAGTCGTTTTGAAATTCTTCCCTTGGGATTTGTGGTATGAAGATTTTGAGGAAAATTATTTTACTTCTATCCCTTTATAACCGCAAACATTTTCTCAAAAAGTTCGTATTAGCTTTCTCTTTTGAGACTTGCTCCTCTTGGAGAAAGTCTGCCTTCACACCAATGGTGACTTTTTTTTCTGAGCTTCTTCTTTAGGAGTTTCTGATGTAAAAATTTCCCTGGATTTTTCCTTTTTGATACTTTAGGGCTGGAGCGATTGCACAGCGGGTAGGGCGTTTGCCTTGCACGCTGCCGACCCGGGTTCGATTCCTGCATCCTTCTCTCGGAGAGCCCGGCAAGCTACCGAGAGTATCCCGCCCACACGGCAGCCAAGCTCCCTGTGACATATTCGATATTCCAAAAACAGTAACAACAAGTCTCACAATGGAGACGTTACTGGTGCCCACTGGAGCGAATTGATGAACAACAGGAGGACAGCGGACAGTTGCAGATGCTTCTTTAGAGGGACCTCTTCCTTCCCAAGAAGTTTCTAGCCGCTGGAGATCGGTGTGCGCTGGCCTGGGCTGTGGCTTTGCCACCTGTGGCTGCAGTGAGCATCTCCGGGTTGACGTCCTGCTCGGCACAGAGCCAGGGCGGAACTGGGAGGGACTGGGCACCAGCGTGGGTACGTGTCCTCTACCCCCACAGAAGGCTGGGTCCCAGCGATTTGGCGCCTTCAGAAGCTGGAGGACTGGGGGCCAGGAAAGAAGTGAGAGACGCATCATGGAAAACTGAAGTGTCTGAGGGGTGTGTGTGTGTGTGTGTGTGTGTGTGTGTGTGTGTGTGTGTGTGTGTGCTGGGTCATGTCTGGCACTGCTCACGGCATACCCTGGCTCTGTGCTCAGAGAGCCTCCTGGTGTGATGGGGGGGGGGGGCATATGGGGTTCTGGGCATCGGATCAGGGCTGGCCACATGCAGGGAAAATGCCCACCCACCCACCACTCTATCTCTCTGATTGCCTGGATTATAAACGTGAATGTCCACAGGTGAGTTTTGGCTCTGAGATTTAGTGTCGACACCTTTCCATTGACCTTCCCAAGAACAGAAACAGCCGACGAACACAAATTTTGCATATGTGTTATGTACTGGATTCTTCTCATAAAGGAAGCTAGAAAAAAAAACGTGAGGAAGAGAAAATATGTATAGTACGGTATTGGCAAAGGAAGTCTGTGTATAAAACACAGGCAGTCCTGTGTGGTTCGAGGGCAGCTGTATACACTAATTAACATGTCTTTATACGTATTCATCTTGCGTTGTAGAGTGTTTACATGTGGTAGCTTTCCCGACTTTAGAATGGGTAACGTCCGTAAGGAACTTGGGCCATATATAGTCGAACCCTTTCACTGACGTTAATACTAATTTTGACACCCAGGTGGGACTCCCCTGTGTGCCTGTGGATTTAATGATTCCGTCCAGAGTTCAGGCCAGGGAGGAAGCGATGGCTGCTACCTCATATCAAATTCACATAGTCAGCGCCGCGTTCTTGGCTATTTATTTCAAGAGGGCCCCGTCGTGGCAGCCCATTGGACATCCTCAAGGATGGAAATTCCGCCACTGAGCAATTATAATGCCCCTAGAACGGCCCAAGGAGTGCATTGAGTACCCTGTTGCCTGTGGTCAGTCCAGGCCCGAGGTTTGAGCTGACCCTGCTGCCCTGGTCACAGCCAGTGTAGACTGTGCTGTTTCTCTGTTGAGTCCACCAGCTGCGGGAGAAGTAGTTCGCTCTTCATCAGTGCTCCTTCGTTAGTGCTCCCTCATCCTTCTTGAGTGCTCCCTCACCCTTCGCTCGTGCCCCCTCACCCTTCTGTAGTGTGTCCTCCTCCTTTGTCCGTGCCCCCGTGCCCTTCAGCAGTTCTCCCTTGCCCATTGTTAGTGCTCCCTCACCTTTTGGGAGTGCTTCCTTACCCTTCAACAGTGCTCCCTCGCCCTTTGGCAGTGCTCCCTTGGGCTCGATCTGGCACTGACCCATCTTCAGCACAGCTCGCTTTGTGCTGTTGTGTCCCTTGGGTGGTGGGAAACAGTGGGTCCCAGAAGGACTCGGTGAGGTCACCTGAGTGGTCAGTAGGAATGGGGATGTTGGGCTGGAGCCCTGGCTCTGATGCACCTGGACTTCGGGGGCCTCAGTCCCGGCCCGCACACCTGCCTACCTGTCCTGAGGTTCAGGAACCATCCCTGTGGGGAGCCAGGAGCAACGTCTGTGGGTGTGTCCCTGCCAAAAAAAAAATATAGCACTGTCCTCCTGTTATTCCTTGATTTGCCCAAGTGGGCACCAGCAACGTTTTCATTGTGAGACTTGTTACTGGTTTTGGCATATCGAATACGCCACGGGGAGCTTGCCAGGCTTTGCCATGTGGGCGAGATACTCTCAGTAGCTTGCCGGGCTCTCCGAGAGGGACAGAGGAATCGAACCCGGGTCGGCCGCGTGCAAGGCAAACACCCTACCCATTGTGCTATCCAGCCTAGGGAAAGAGCCTCCTGGTAGATGCAGGGGCTGTGGGTCCTGCTGTGAGTGCAAGACGCTGAGGGCACCCAGGGTGTGCGGGCGGGAGGACCGTAGGGTGGTGATGGGGGAGGAAGGGGAAGAGTCAGCGGGAGACGGGAACAGCGAGAGGGAAGAAGCGCAGTTTGGGGCACGGTCAGAGGAGCAGAGGGGGACGTGCCTCCGGATTTACGATCTGTTGAGCTGGAGACGCCGGAGCTTTGGGACGGGGACGCTTTTCCCAGCGCTTCTTCCTGCTTGTTGCGCCCGGTAGCTGGAGCGGGGGTTAAACTGAGGCCGCCCAATGCGGGCAGGAAGCATGTGTTGAACTTGGTCCCTCTGATGTGGTGGACAGCACCGGGTTCAGAACGCGCTTGTTCTCCGTGGGGGAGTAACTGCAGCTGAGGACATGGAGGATCTTGTTAGACCAGCCTGCTCAGTGGTCAGTGCCAGCAGTCACGGCTGTGCCTTGGGACGATTCTGAGTGGCCACGAGCTTAGAGTCAGGGTCTGTGTGGAGAGAGGGATGGCGGGAGATGCCAGATCTCCCTGGCAGAGATGTGAGGGCGGGACAGCGGGGAGGGGGCTTGCCCCCAGGGCTGCCGCGGACATCCCAGCAAGGGCTTCACCGCTGCTGCACGCGCAGGAAGGCGGCCTTTAGGAAGGACGGGCCGCAGTCAGAGAGACGCTTTAGCAGCAGGTGAGGCATCTGTCAGCCCCGCCTGATTCCGGTTCAGTCCCCAGCCCCGCCCCTGCCACACACCCCCCCCCCCCCGCCCCGAGCCCCACCGGGAGTGACCCCCGAGCTCAGAGCCAGGAATCAGCTCTGAGCCATGCTGCTGGGTGTCACCCCCAAACATGAACCTAGGAAACCGTCCGGGTACCCGATTGTGTGGTCCTTAGCCTCTGTTCTTTCGCTCATGGCTGGGATAAACTGTTGTGTGTGTGTGGGGGGGGGGGGGGGGGGAGGTTGCATGTGTGTGTATAGATTATAGGTGTGTATGTGCGTATGTGTGTATTTGGGTGTTTGTATGGGGGGTGTGTGCAGGGTGTTTATGAGTGTGTATGGGTGTGTGAAGATTGTGTGTATGTGTATGTGTGCAATGTGTGTGTACCTGTGTGTATTATAGGTGTGTATGGGTGTGTATGGGTATGTATGTGTGTATGGGTGTGTACATGTGTATGTATGTGTGTATGGGTATGTGTGTGTATGGGTTTGTATGAGTGTGTGTGGGAGGTGTGTATGGGTGTGTGTATGGATGTGGGGGGTGTATATGTGTGTGTGGGGTGTGTGTGTGTATGTATGTGTGTATGGGTGTGTATGGGTGTGTGCATGTGTGTATGGGTGTGTATGTATGCATGTGTATGGTTGTGTGTAGATGCGTGTGTGTGCATGTGTGTGTCTGTGTGTGTGTCTGTCTATCTGCCTGCCTGTCCCCACTGACGGGAGGCAGAGGTGCAGGGTCAACGTCACCGTGTCTGGGGTCTTGCCTGCCCCGGCCACGAAAGGAGGCACACTGTCTCCAGCCACGCGACGACAGGGCTGTTTCCCAGCCGCCGCCAGTGCCTGGGCGGGAATCTCGTCCCCGCAGCACAGACTGGCAGCCCAGGGGGCAGGGCCGCGTGGGGTGGACAGGGCAGCACGTAGCGCTCCGGCCTCTCTCTCCCCACCCCTCCTGCTGCACAGGGAGAGGGCGGTGGGCAGGCTGGTGGCGGTCACTTGTGGGCTGCAGGCCAGCGGCCACTGTCGACCTTCCATAGCACAGCGGGAATGGGGGGCGGTGGAGGGGGGCACTTGCCATCTGTTCTCTTAGACCCCAGGGCAGGGTCATCTCCCCACGGGGGTCTGATTCGTTTCTCCCCGTTCCTCTCCTCCATCCCTGCCCCTGGCTCCCAGCACAAAGGAAGCCCAGCAGGATACGTCCACTGTGACCCCCCTTCCAGAGCGCCCTCCAGCTCCACCCCAGGTCCCCCTCTTGTCCCGGGGATCGTGGGACACACTCACACCCTGTGTGGTGGCAGCCGCAGGTCCCCTCCTGGCAGCAGTGAGGGTGTGGGCGGTGGACAGGTCACTGTGTGGGGGACTGAGGGTGCATTGAGGGTGTGGGTGGTGGACAAGTCACTGTGTGGGGGACTGAGGGTGCAGTGAGGGTGTGGGTGGTGGACGGGTCACTGTGTGGGGGACTGAGGGTGCAATGAGGGTGTGGGTGGTGGGTGTGGGGAGAGATATCTGGGGGTCCACCGAGAGTGGCGGGGTGCAGTGAGGTTGCGGATGGCTGCCATGTGTGGATACGTGGCTTCTCTGCCGTGCCTGTGAGGTTTCGTTTTCTTGTCTAAGAATAAGGACACGACGTGTGGGCTCTGAACTGCTAGCCCCGACCCTGGCTTCCCAGCTCTCATGCACTTTAATTGTGGGTAGAAGCTTCCAGTAAGAAGAGTTGTGCGCCCCTCCCCCACATTCTAATATGAAGGCATGGATATTCACAATAGAAGACAGGAACAATATACAACTAAAATATCATGACTTGTGTCTGTCTCTGAGCATAAAGTATTCTGCCTAGATGCACTGTATTCTAGTTAAGAATTGGCTAAGAATTTGGGTCTGGGAATTTTTCTTGGTCAAGTGCTTATGTTTTATTTTCCAAGAAGGGTTTTTCTACCTGTATGTGTTTTTGTATTTTCTAGAAGCGTTGAAATTATTTCACCGGTATTTTTTTGTTTTATTACTTTTACGCCACACCCTCTGCCCCATGTTCTCAGTGAAATAGGAGAAAACTCTTGCTTTAAATGATTTAGACTTTTTTGCCCCCAAATCTTTCATTTTCCATCGAAGAAAACATGCCGGGACTTCACCCCCAAAGATCATAAACACATACATAATTAAGCTTTAAAAAAAAAATCTCCAGTCCCGTTTCACGCTCGAAGCCCCCGTCCGTGCAGTTTCTCTTTGAAAGATGCTGAGCAAATGCCTGGGATTTCTCTGGGGCAAAACCTTCACCCCTCATCCCCGATGCAGTTATCCTTCTGCTCTGCCCGCCACACACGTCTGACGGTGGGAAGGCAGTATATTTTTTTTTTCCTCTGTGTAGAGTCGAAATTTAGAATTCTTCGTTAAACAGCCTGTGGTGGAAAGCGGCTCTCCTGACCAAACAAAGTTTTTATTTCAGGCCTTTAAAATTTCACCCGATTTCAAACATTATTTAGATAAAACAATTATGTTACAAAGATGACTTTGAGCAGGAGAGAGGCCACCCACGGAGGGAGCGGGGAACGCGGCCGGCCAACCGCCCAGGCAGCCTCAGGTCATTTTTTTTCATCTTTGCTTAAAGTATAGTCACTAGACCAGATAATGTCGAAACGTTTTATGAGCAGCCATCAAACAGCTGAAAACAGTTTCTCCTTTCTCTCCCTCTCCTCCTGGCTAATTAAAAATAAAATTCACAAGTTGAAAAATGTTAGCTATTTTTGTGCCCTGTAAATTTTGCTGTAGATAAAGCCCCTCTTTCTTCCGAGCGATTCATACAGTGGGAGGTCTTTTGGTTGGAAAAAAAAATGTGTAGAAAGAGAGATATCGTTAATGTGTGTGTCATTTGTAAGGTTATTTAAGAACTATTCATCCCCTGGTTGTACGTGAGAATTTGTCATTTGAAATTGCTCGTGGGATTGTCTGTGCCAGCTAGGTAGAGAGGATTTTGCCAAGAAATCTGATTTTGAGGGCAGAATTTTTCTGAAAAAAACAAAAAACAATGTTTCCCCATTTTGTTAATTACCACTGAGCAATGAAGGGTCGCTGTCTCTGGTGAACCTGTACACATGGGTATTAACCTATTGTACGAATCCATGAAATCACCTAAGAGCCCATCATTGCTTACAAATATCAAAGAGTCCCTCACACACATGTGGGTTCACGTGAGAGAATTTGGAGGGGTTGCTTGGTTCTGAATATATGAAAAGATTCAGTGGGCAAAATGAAAATTATATTTTAGCAAACCACGTAAGAGCTCGATTAAACTGTAAACCAGTTGTGAGGATTTCTGGAATGCTGCAATATCTGTCTCGCATTTTGTTTCAATTTCCCAGTTGTGCATCTTCTGATTTAAATTGTTTCTTTTCTTTTTTTGTTTTTTTAACATGAGTTGCTTTTCCTTCTTTTCAAATAGGAGCAAGTACCACTGCCGACACGTTGTTTCAAGAAGTTTTAGGTCGAAAGGACAAAGCAGATTCCACTAGAAATGCACTTAACGTGCTTCAGCGATTCAAGTTTCTCTTCAACCTTCCCCTAAATATTGAAAGGAATATTCAAAAGGTAGAGTACCTATTTATATACCTACGGTTAGAGATGTCATAAATTTTAAAGAGTTGCTAAGATGTTTTGTGTCTCAACCAAATGTCTTCATTTCACTTCCCTGGCGGCCTCCCCAATGTTTCTTTATTTTATAGGGTGATTATGATGTGGTTATTAATGACTATGAAAAGGCCAAGTCCCTGTTCGGGAAGACGGAGGTGCACGTTTTCAAGAAATGTAAGATCTGTTTATTCCTTTTACATTTCCACTTTCCTTTTACAGGAAGAATGTGGAAAGTGTTGGGCAAGGAATGTTACATGCGCTAGTTTTTGTTTATATGCTGCTCTTTTAAAAATGTGAAACTGCAAAAAAGAGAGAGAGAGAGAGAGAGAAAGAAAGAAAGAAAGAAAGAAAGAAAGAAAGAAAGAAAGAAAAGAACATTCTATCTCGCCTTTACAAAGGTGGAGCGAAAGTGAGCAGCTGTGACACTCGGGGTGATTAAAATTTTGGACCTTCTCTGCCTCTTGTTAACTGGGATGCTGTTTTTAAAAATAACCAGTTTTGTGGTTTTTTTTTTTTTGGCCCCCCTCTGTTTTGGCTAAAAAGAGTCAATTCCAGATATTTTATAGGGATGGAGATCTACATTTCTTTTCCTGTTCAGCAAAACTCATCTGCTCAGGAGTCTAACCCTAATTGAAACTAAACAAATCAATTTTTTGAAATTGCCCTGAGTGCCGGAGAAAGGTTCTTAAAATGCCTTAAGGCAAAAGGCTTCCTAACTGGGAGATGCATCCGTCTGGGGGGTCGGGGGCGGGGGTGGGTTGTTTCCGTGGTGGTCCTGGTCCCTGGAGCTCCGCAAGTTAAACTGCACTCCGCATTGTGAAACACACAGAACTCAGCGGCTGCCCGTCGGTGGGCCTGACAGACGCATTCACACCCGGGCAGAGTGGTGTCCCCCCACCCCCGAAGTTCCCTGGGGCCTCCTCCCACCAGCCCTGTACCCCCACCCACCTCTCTTGTGCCACTCTCTGCTGTCTTGATGTGACCTTTCCCTCCCCTTTCCTCTCCTATAGACTACGCCGAGGTGGAAACCCGGATTGACGCCCTACGCCAGCTGCTCCTGGACAAGCTGCTGGAGACGCCGTCCACCTTGCACGACCAGAAGCACTATATACGGTAATCCCGTAGACCAGAAGCGTCATATACGGTAATCCCGCAGATCAGAAGCGTCATATACGGGAATCCCACAGACCAGAAGGACTACATGTGGTAATCCCGCAGACCAAGAAGCACTATCTGTGGTAATCCCGCAGACCACAAGTGTCATATACGGTAATCCCGCAGACCAGAAGCGTTATATACGGTAATCCCGCAGACCAGAAGCACTACATGCGGTAATCCTGCAGACCACAAGCACTATACGTGGTAATCCCGCAGACCAGAAGCATTACATACAGCAACGCACCCGGCAAGCAACAGGAGCACAAACATGTGGGCATGTCCTTCTGGATGGTAGTAAACTGGGGGCACCCGGGCGCTCTGGAAGGCCCACACATCCTGCGTGCATGCCGGGTGTGAGTGTGGGTGACTCACCCCACGGCCCCCCACGGCCCCTACCCGGCTTAGAGCTCATGCTGCTGCTCGGGACATGCCAGAGGGACAGTCTGCCGGGCGCGGGAGCCGGGTGTGGGGCAACAAGGCCTTTGTGTTGTAAAGACAAAGTGTAGAGTGTTGTTGGTGTTCTGTGTGAGTGTGAGTGTGAGTGTGTGTGAGTGTGTGTGTATGAGTGTATATATGAGTGTGTGTGAGTTTGAGTATGTGTATATGAGTGTGTGAATGTGTGAGTGTGTATGAGATTGTGAGTGTGTGTGTGTGTGTGTGTGTGTGTGTGGTGCGGTGTTCAGGAATTGAACCCAAGCAAGTGCTCTACTGCTGAGCTGCATCCCAGATGGAAGGAATGATGGCAGTTGGAACATTTCATGGAAACTGTCAGCCTGAGAGACTTGGTCGAACTCTTCCTCACTTCCTCACCGTCACAGTGACGTGGCGTTGCTACTGTCTCTGTCTCAGGGGGTAGCTGAAATAAGCTAGTAGGTGTCTAAGGGTTGGACACGCCAACTGGCATATAATACGGAGTCAGTGAATTGCACGTGTAACGTTCATGGCAGGATTTTGAGATAAAGCATCGGAGTGGTAAACTTCCTGTATGTAGGAGTTAAAGCTGCCGCTGTTGGGGGCCCGGGAGGCAGGTCAGATGGCTGGGGAGCCTGCTCTGCACGAGGGAACCCTGGACTGTGCTCCCGGGCCGTGCTCCCCAGATGTGCTCCCGGGCTGTGCTCCCGGGCTGTGCTCCTGAGCGTGTGCCATGAGCCAGGCTCTGTGCTCGACTCGCCGTGCATGGTGCGTCTTGGGCCTCTCTGTTCTGTTGCTTGTGTCAGCCCGTCTGGCAGGGGACGACGCTGGCTTGGACAGGGGCACCTGGCCGGACACACAGCCCGGCGGAGGCTGGATGCCGTCCCTGAGTGTCCATCTCGAGGCTTCCCTAGGAAAGTATGTGCCGGGGCGGCAGAGCCGGACATTCATCCTGGTCACCCGGCTGCCCGAGTCACACAGCCACACGCAAAGGCAGGCCGGGGGCGGCCAGCGGCCGGAGTACGTTGCCGTTTTCTGTTCCTCTATGTCATCTCCCTAATTGTGCCTAGTGATGATTCACTTTTAGTGAATTTATTCTATTACATTTGCTTATAGGGGCTGGAGCAACAGCACAGCGGGTAGGGTGTTTGCCTTGCACGCAGCCGACCCCGGGTTCGATCCCCAGCGTCTCATATGATCCCCCGAGCACTGCCAGGAGTCATTCCTGAGTGTATGAGCCAGGAGTGACCCCTGTGCATCGCCAGGTGTGCCCCAAAAGGAAGAAAAAAATTTGCTTATGGTAACAGGCAAACATTCTTGAGCGCATGCTTTCTTCATTTCGTGAATCACCACCTCTACGGGTGAAACAGAGCGTTCCGAGTTGGCCAGCCAGCTTGGTGGCTGTCATTACAGGAGTGGGAGGAGTGGGCCGGAGAGAGGACTCGGTGGACTGAGCACTTGTGGGAGGCTGAGAGTCCAGCCCCAGACACCGCCTGGTCCCCGCCACGTGAGCCAGGAGTAGCCCTTGAGCTACAGGACTGAGTGTGGCCAGACCCCAAAATCACCAGGAGAATGTAATGGTCAGCAAGGGTCCTTGAGGTGACTCAGACGCCTTCTGGCAGTCAGCAGGAAAAGAACAGGCAAGCCTTGTGGTTTGCAGGATTGATACTGAAAGGTTATCAAGACTATCCCTTACCTACTTTTAACCCTCAGCTCTAGTCCAACATGATCATTCCCTGCTATTACAGTCACACTGATCTCTTCTCTATCTTACCTACCCTCAGCTTCACACACATTTGTGGTTAGTTCCAACCATTGACCAGTCCTCTTGACCCCTGTTTACCCTGGCCATGGATATTAATCATATATATATCACGATCACGATCATCCTGTTATTCATCATTTGCCTCGAGCAGGCCCCAGTAACGTCTCCTTCGTCCTAGTCCTGAGATTTTTAAAAAGTGCCACATTCACACATTCAAGGCTATTTCAGGGTTAGGAGAATGAGACCCATCATTGTTACTGGTATTTGGCATATTGGGTACGCCACGGGGAGTTTGCCAGACTCTGCAGTCATTCTATATCTGCCCCTCTCCTTCTGACTCATTTCACTCAGCATGATACTCTCCACGTTCATCCATCTATAGGCAAGTTACATGACTTCATTTTTCCTGACAGCTGCATAGTATTCCACGGTGTAGATGGTCCATGTTTTTTTTTTTTTCTTCATCCATTCATCTGTTCTTGGGCACTCACTGTGAGTGTATGGTTCTGTTTATTGCTGAGGTGGGAGGTTGTTTACGTCTAATCGGTGGAGAGAAATTATCTCCGAAGAGTTGGTTCCCAGCACAAATCAAAGCTAACCTCCGGGTGCACTTGTTCACTCTTGCGGTGACGGTGTTTGAGCACGCATGTGGGTGTGCGTGTGTGTGTTATATTCGAGTGAGATATACCGAGTTAAGAGGCCTTGATAGGGAAGTCATCATTTTACTACACAAAAATATTTCTGGATGGAAGGAGTTTCTCTTCCTAGTGTTTTTTTTTTTCTTTTTGGGTCACACCTGGTGATGCACAGGGGTTACTCCTGGCTCTGTACTCAGAAGTTACTCCTGGTGGTGCTCAGGGGACCATATGGGATGCTAGGAATAGAACCCGGGTCGGCCGCGTGCAAGGCAAACGCCCTACCCGCTGTGCCATCTTTCCAGCCCCACTCTCTTCCTAGTTTTAATGAAAATAATGTGAATTTATGTGTTTAAGTTTAGAATTCTTAAGTAAAAATATTATTGTTTGTATGCCCTCAAATAAACGAAAACAAAAAACCAAGCAAGTAAGGCGGCCCTTACTTGGGTCTTTCCCATCCTCTCGGTGCTTGGGGCTGGCAGGCTAGTGGTTCTGTCATCCTGAAATGAAGTTTTCCATCATGAATGGAGAACAGAAACATGACAACTAGAGTCACATCTCTTGGACTCGGTCCCCGCTGCTGGGACCAGACAGGGGATGCGGGAAGTACCAGAGGGTGATAACAGCCTTCACAGCCCCAGACCCATCGGCACCCTGGACTGGGGGGGTCCCCCGTGGGAAATCACCTGTCCGCTGTTTGGAGTTTCCGTCGCTCTTGGATTGCCTGAAAAGCTTTCTTTTCGCGTGCCTTTTTCCATCTGGGGACTTGTAGCTTGAGTAAGAAACAGAGTGACATGTATATCTTTCCGGGCTGGTGAGAAGTTCTTCCTGTTTACTTGTTGAAATTTGTGTCAGAAAATAACTCTCAGCCCCTAATTTTCAAGTGGAAAAATCGAGCCTAAACTCCTCAAAATGGACCCCCCATGTGCCTTTTCCCCCTTTAACAACAAAGCCTTTTTTTAAAAAACTGCTTTTAAGTAGGCAGGCTTGAAAAAAAAAATACCAATGTCACGTATTGGATTCTAAGGATCTTGGACGTAAAGCCAGTCATTTTTAAGCCCATCCTTTAAGGAAAGAAGTCTGTTGCATTAAATTGGAAACCCCAAGATTTCTGAGAGAACAGGTTGATCTTTTAAAGAAAGACAAGCCCTTTTGATGGACCACTTACGAAAAAGATAGAGGGTTAGTTTTTGCAAGGACTCCATCAACCGACTCAGGAGACCAGGACTTTAAATGTTTCTGAACAGACTCACTCCCGCTGATTAGTGTCCAGGAGACGCTCACAGCAGGCCAGACCATCCATCCATCTGTGTCTCCTTCCAGTAGTTTACAAATGAAGAAGCAGCAGCTTTTGAAAAAAAAAAAAGCCCAAACACTGTGCCCCCAAGCCCGCAGTGCTGTGGGGGTCAGTGCATTAGGAGCGACTGTGGCGGGCAGCAAACCCGAGGCCAACACCAGGACAGGTGACCTGCATCAAGGAAGAGTCGGGTGATGCTTTTTTTTTTTTTTTTTTGGTATAAAGGAGTGACTCGTTGGACAAAGTTGCGTATTTTTCTTCTAGCCAGTGAAAGAGGGGACTTGGAGACAGGAGAATGAAGGAGCTACCTGCTCCTTCTTCTGTGGGACGGGTTAGGTTTCCCTTTCCCGCTCCAATGCCGTGACGTGAACGTGACGTGACATGCAGTGACTCTCAGCCCTTACCCACGCGCCGAGGCAGGCGGTCAAGGGCCAGCTCCCCCGCGGGGGGACGGGGAGTGTAGGAAGGAGCTCCCTCTTGCAGGATTCCCAGACCTCCTGTTCTCCTGGGAAACCAGGCTGACCCCCTGGGCTGTGGGACGAGGTCAGGGCCAAGAGTGATGCTTCTTCTCCCGGGAAGTCTGATTTCCTCTCAGGTTAGCAGAGGGGGGCTTCTCCTGCAGGAAGCTGCTAGCTCGGAGAGATCCCACCCGAGGCCTGGGTGGGATCCAGCCTGAGAGATTACAGTTTGGCACTCACTGCTTCTAACTGCCAATTAAATTTCCCATTGAACAAAAGCCTCCAGCCCCTTGAGTTGATTTCATTTCATTTTTTTTTTCATTTCATCATCCTGTTATTCATCGATTGCCTCGAGCAGTCCCCAGTAACGTCTCTTTCATCCTAGCCCTGAGATTATATTCAAGGCTCTTTAGGAGAATGAGACCCATCATTGTTACTGGTATTTGGCATATTGGGTACTCCCCGTGAGTTGATTTAATGGGATTTAACTCACCTTGGCATTGCCCTGGAGGGCTGAAGGCCAAAGCCTGAATAGCAAGGCGGACACCAACGTGACTGAAATCACTTTTAGTTGTGGCTTAGGGGGTGGGTGTTTGGTGTGCAAAGAAGACTTTGGCTATTTGAAAAAAAAAAATTATGTGTGTGTGTGTACATATTATATTTTTTTCTCTAAAGTGAAGAAAAATGTCTTTCCATCCTGTTTTCTCTGGAGAAATATTTCCTCTGTCACGAACTGGATCCCTTTCATCTTCAGAGGCAGATGCTGAAGGCTCCCCAAAAAACGCTTCAAGCACAGCTGGTGTCCCTAAGACCAAACATGGTGCCACACTGCCACCTAGTGGCAGGATTTCAGACCGAAAGAAAGGCCCGATTCCTTGGGCATTTCTAAAAATCTTCTCCAGCTGTCGGCCGGCAGTGAGCAGGAGTTAGTCTGTAGGATAACATTGGTTTGTCCTTTCTGCCTTGCCACGGGGAGCTTAGTTTTATTGGGTCACTCCCATCACAGTGCTCCCATTCCCCTGTGCATATCTGTCACCTCTTTCTTGGTGCTCTGCTTCCCCAATCTGTCAACCCCCTTTATCTCCTAAGCAGACTCTGTTAACTTGTAAATGTTGCTTTCCTCTTCTCCTTAAGTCCTTCGCAGAGTTAATTCAGAGCAAAGTCATTTTTGTCTAGACACAAGAAGAGTGTGAATGCCCTGCTTTTTGTAACTTGGGAGTTAATTTTCGTTAAAATTTTGACTAAACCAGGGGCTGGAGCGACGGCACAGCGGGTAGGGCGTTTGCCTTGCACGCAGCCAACAAGGCCAACACAGGTTCGATTCCCAGCATCCCATATGGTCCCCGAGCACCGCCAGGAGTGATTCCTGAGTGCATGAGCCAGGAGTAACCCCTAAGCATTGCCGGGTATGGCCCCCCCCCAAAAAAAAATTTTTTTTTTTACTAAATCAAATGGAAACCCAAAGATAGTCTGTAAGCAGATAGGATCATTCATTGCAAGTTACCTCACGGGGCCTTATTATGAGGGCTGAGTGTGTGTGTGTGTGTGTGTGTGTGTGTGAGAGAGAGAGAGAAAAAGAGAGAGTGTGTGCATGTGTGTGTATGTGTGTGTGAGAGAGAGAGAGTGAGTGTGTGTGTGTGTGTGTGTATGTGTGTGTTTCAGGTACACTCTTACTGTCTTTTATTACCTACGTGAAAACCAAATGTAAACACAACACCTTTAGTACAAAACACTACACAGTTAGGCCGACACATGCTTCCGAGTGCGCGCATTTTTATTCTCCTGCTGTTCCAAGTGCCCAGACCCCACCCCACTTGTTGACCGGTGGGCCGCTCTGTCCCCCACCTTCCGGTCAGCCTGGCCCTTGTCTTTGCAGGTACCTGTCGGACCTGCACGCGCCCGGCGACCCTGCGTGGCAGTGCATCGGGGCCCAGCACCGCTGGATCCTGAAGCTTATGCACAGCTGCAAAGAGAACTACGTCCAGGACCTGAAAGGCAAGACCCCCGGGTGGGCGAGGGTCTGACGCTCCAGGGGGTGGGAGCACGGGGGAGAGAGGAGGGAGGGTCTAGGGGCACCCCTGGCTCTGACTCGGGGGTCTGTGTCTGGTCTCGTGCTGTCTGAGCCACTGGTCCCGGCCCAGATGGGCGGGGAGGGGTCCGAGCCACCCGCCCCACTAGGTACCAGGCAGGGGTGCCGCAAACAGACCCCGTCTGGGCCCACATGACGTTGGAACTCGCAGCTGAGCTGTGTAAAGCCCACCCAGGCAGGTGCGGCCGTGACACACCCCTGCAGGCCGGGCCGGGGTCTCCCTGCGAGCCCCCGCGTGTGGGCCCTGCCGTGTGGGTGATGTGGAGTGGGGCTGGCGGTGTGAGAGCACTGTGGAATGGGTCACAGGCTGACAGATGCAGTCCTGGGCCTCCGCCGGTCCAGGGTCCGGCTCGCGGCCGCTTCCGGGAGGAGCCGGGCCAGAGGGCGGGAGGGGCCAGGCGGGGGTCACCGTTATTTATTCCGAGCATAGTTTGGTCATGAATGAGTTGGCCTGGATTCGAGGACTTTCCAGCTGCGCTTGGTTCCTCCCCACCCCCCTGGAGGCAGGAAACCCAAACCCGCCCCTCTGCGACCACATTGGAATCCCTGTCCCTGCCCTTCATGTGGCCCAGCGTGATGAAGGGTCAGTGACACGGGCTGATGCACACATCCGGGCTCCCCGGGTGACCCCCGTCCTTGATGTGAGCCCCCTCTTCCGAGCGGGACCCCAGGTGGCTTCCTCCCTCCTGCCCTCGCCCCCTCCTCCTTGAAGGTGACCAAGAGTCCTCGCTCGCCCACTATTTCCGTGCCCTCCTATAGGCCGGCACATGTGTGACCTGCGGCCATGCTCCTGCCCAGCTGTGGGGCAGCGGGCAGTCCTGGCAGAGGGACTCTAATAGATGGGCCCTCGGAGCTCAGGACCCACGAAACAGGCACCCGGACCACCCAGCCATCCTCCAGGGCCTCCCTGGGCTTCGAGCTGGGGAGTCCCGGATCTCACCATGCTTGTGAGATCCACAGCAGAGGAGTGTCAGTGCAGGGGACACTCCTGGGCATTTGGGTACCGGCGGGCAGGGCTGAGCAATGCCTGTGTGTCTCTGGCCCTGCCCCTGGTACAGCAATCACGATCATGATCACGATCATCCTGTTGTTCGTCGATTGCCTCAAGCAGACACCAGCAACATCTCCTTTGCCCTAGCCCTGAGATTTTTTAAAAAGTGCCATATTCAAGGCTCTTTCAGGGTTAGGAGAATGAGACCCATCATTGTTACTGGTATTTGGCATATTGGGTATGCCACCCAATATGGAAAGTTGTTACTGGTATTTGGCATATTGGGTATGCCACGGGGAGTTTGCCAGACTCTGCCGTGTGGGCAGGTAACATTCGGTAACCTGCCAGGTTGTCCAAAGTAAGAATGAGATAATAAGATGTCTTTTGGGAGCTGGGTTTTATAGTCTCTGGGTCTTGGTCGTTGATGGGATTACACAGCGCCAGGGACCCAGTTGGTGGGTGTGACCCCCACCTACTGGAAGATGGAGGATCTGGGTGGAGGATGCTCAGCCCCGATCCGAGCAGGCTTGGAGATCTCAGCCCCGGGACCCGCATGCCTTTGTTCCTCTGCCGGTACTTTCCTTCATGCGTGTGGAGAGTGGTCTCTGCATGGTTGTGGCTGGTTCCGAAGGTCTTCAGCTGCCGGGGCTCTGCTCGGGGCCGGGAGGGAAACTCAACCCGCTCCCCTCCAAGGGGCCCCGGCGAGGACAGCCAGGCACGGGGGCAGGAGACTCTGGTACGGCAAACAGAAAATAACACTAACGAGGTTCTAGGGTCTGGAGGGGTGGATGGATGGTTCAGGGGTGGGGTACGCGCCTCGCATGCAGCCAGCCCAGAGTCTGTCCCTAGCGCCACAGGGGGTCCCTGAGCCCTAAGCACAGCTGGGTGTTGCCCCCCCTCCCCCTCTCGTCCCCCACACAAAAGAAAGAAGGTTCCAGAAAGTTTCTTAGAGGTGGTGAGACTTCCACTAAGTCTGTGTATCAGTTACACACCCAATTCCATCAAGCACGACTAGTCCTGTGTTGCTTTCTCCGTTCCTCAGCTAGCAATCCATTTAAACAGTCACCGTAAATTTACTTCTTATAACGCTTCTAGTAGGGCTGGAGCGATAGCACAGCGGTAGGGCGTTGGCCTTGCACGTATCCGGCCTGGCTGAACCGGGTTCGATTCCTCCACCCCTCTCCGAGAGCCCGGCAAGCTACCGAGAGTATCTCGCCCGCACGGCAAAGCCTGGCAAGCTCCCCGTGATGTATTCAATATGCCAAACACAATAACAAGAAGTCTCACGATGGAGACGTTACTGGGCCCGCTCGAACAACGCTTCTAGTCATTTTGTGTGAACACAGTAAGAGATGTATTAAGCTTAAAGGTTGGCTCTTCCTGGGGACATCTCACTATATATTCCAGACCACAGACCTCAGGCCAAAGTGAGTCTTTCCTAACCCCAGCAGAGTCCTTAGTCAGTTCCTACTTTTTGGGTCATAACTGAGTTTGTCCCATGACCATGCTCTTAACTTATTATGCTTGTGGCACTTGACCTGACCCATTTTGATGCCAGGGTAGCTCACAGCTTGCCCCGGGTCCATCCAGTCCCTTGTCGGGCTCCTGCTCTTGGAGTGCTAGGAACTAAGGGCAACTGAAGCTTAACTCAAATAAATATGGATGCCCAGGAGTAAATATTATTTTGGAGTCAACTAACTCCCATGTTACACAGCATAGCATGAACTGTCTTCCTGTATCTATACAAAAAGGACATTGTTAAATCATGCAAATGACATAAAGGAAAGAGAAAAGCAATATAGGATTATCAGGACTTGATGGAATTGGTTGTGCTTCGGGGGCACTGTTTTGGGAGTAACTCAGTAAACCTTAAGCTCCCACGGGAGGAGCATGGACAACCCAATGTTACCCAACACCAAAGGGTGGACAGTATTCCAGATGCTCAGTCAGTCTGCTCCACACACGCCCAGGCCACGACTGTAGCTGGTGACTAGGGCAGTGGTGGTCCCCGGTGGTCTCCGCTGGTCTCCAGATACGAGTGGGCACCTGTTCTGTGTGGGCTTTCCTGCCGGCCCTTCTAAGGAACAGTCAGACCGCACAAGGTGGCTATGAGAATCGTGGGATTTCTGAGACGTGTGCAGGATTTGTGAAGACAGCAGCCGGTGCTAGCAGACCTAGGAGGAGTTTCCGGAAACCTCATTTGCTGTCACATTCCTGTTTCTGGAAAGCTCGGCCTGCGTGTGGTCTGCGCTCAGAGGCCCAGCTTCAGCGGGCAGCCGTTGTGTTGTGTCGCATGAGTTCATCTAGAACTGTGTAAAGGCAGCATGTCCGGGAAGGAAGGTACAACCAATGTGTGTGTGTGTGTGTGTGTGTGTGAGTGTGTGTGTGTTGTGTGTGTGTTTGTGCGCGAGCGCATAGGTGCGCGTGTGTGCGTGTGTGGTGTGGTGTGTGTGTGTGTTGTGTGTGTGTTTGTGCGCGAGCGCATAGGTGCGCGTGTGTGCGTGTGTGGTGTGGTGTGTGTGTGTGTGTGTGAGTGTGTGTGTGTTGTGTGTGTGTTTGTGCGCGAGCGCATAGGTGCGCGTGTGTGGTGTGGTGTGTGTGTGTGTGAGTGTGTGTGTTGTGTGTGTGTTTGTGCGCGAGCGCATAGGTGCGCGTGTGTGGTGTGGTGTGTGTGTGTGTGAGTGTGTGTGTGTTGTGTGTGTGTTTGTGCGCGAGCGCATAGGTGCGCGTGTGTGCGTGTGTGGTGTGGTGTGTGTGTGTGTGAGTGTGTGTGTGTTGTGTGTGTGTTTGTGCGCGAGCGCATAGGTGTGCGTGTGTGGTGTGGTGTGTGTGTGTGAGTGTGTTGTGTGTGTGTTTGTGCGCGAGCGCATAGGTGCGCGTGTGTGGTGTGGTGTGTGTGTGTGTGAGTGTGTGTGTGTTGTGTGTGTGTTTGTGCGCGAGCGCATAGGTGCGCGTGTGTGGTGTGTGTGTGTGTGAGTGTGTGTGTGTTGTGTGTGTGTTTGTGCGCGAGCGCATAGGTGCGCGTGTGTGCGTGTGTGGTGTGGTGTGTGTGTGTGTGTGTGTGTGTGTGTAGCCGGAGCCTTTTCCGTTTCATTCTTTCGTTCACTTCATTCCTCAGGTACATAGAACTTGCCCATCACTGTGAGATGGCAAGAGAGCGGGGGGGAATGGACCCATTTGTTAATACTGAGCTTTCCCTGACGTGACGGCCCCTGGTTGGTCTCTGATTAGCAGGGCAGACCGTAACAACTCACAGTGCTTTGCGTGGACCCTGCATTTCATGACGGTGCAAGTGCACATTTCTTGACTTTATTAGTCCGACGTTTATAGATTACATTTCGATGTCATTTACTTTTGACGGCCAGGAGGGCACGTGGTGTCTCCTTTAGACACTGACAAATGCCGTAGATGCAAACTACACAGAAGAGACTTTTAATTGGAAGGTTATTCTTTTATTTAGGAGAAGTCCAAGCATATTTACAAGCAGAGAGGGTACCGTAATACCCCACCATGCATACACCCTAGTTCTCACAGCTGTCAAATCCCTGCCAAACCGTCATTACTTACATGTTTGTTCACATCATGAAAATTTCAGTTAACTTTTCCAGGTTAGAAGGAATTTTGTATCTCCAAGATCATTCTCAGTGTCTTGACTCCTTGACTTTTCACTGACACAGTGCCCGGGCATCTGATCGAGATCTAGACAAAACCAGTGTCCCCTGAAGTGGAAGATTAGCCAGAAGTCATACAGACCAGTTTGCTCTTGTCATTAATGTATGCTAGTGTCCTTGGGTACTTGTCGGCTCTTTAATAAACCCTGACCCGTGTCTATACAAGTAATATCGTCAGAGGAAATAGAGGTACATATGTGTGAGTCCATTTGATAGAAAATATTCACGTTAATTGTAGTTTGCCGGGAATCAGCCTA